GGGTACTGGCCATGTTAAATAAAGACTGGCCTCTTGGGAGACCTCTCAAGCACACATCCTCAGAAGTGCTGGGAGCCCATTAACCACCCCTAGGTCCCCAAACATATCACCACAGCAATATGACCAGGCTAGTGGAATCTACTTCTCCTGGGCTCGAGATTCATTGACTGGTAGGAGGAAGACTGCAAAGCACAGGGAAGAGCAGGATTTTTGGTTTGGGGGTTTTTTTTGTTGTTTTTTTGTTTGTTTGTTTGGTTGGTTTTTTTGTTTTTTGTTTTTTTAACTGCCACAGGGTATGTGCGCTAAGCAGAAAGAGAAAGGGAGAGAGAAAGCATCCCCAAACCCTCCATGGGATGTGGTCACACTGCAATCTCTTCTCCTTCCTCCCTTTCTCCACTGTCAGGATTTTAGACACACACACACACAAGCCTGGTGTGTTTTTCAAGTTGCTGGGACCAGGGTTCAAATTGTGGTTGGCCATGTGGGATCCAGCTCCCTTTAACCACTAGGCTATGGGGCAGGTTGGGACAAAACATGAGACCGAAAAAAAAGGGAAAGAAAAAAGGAAGGAAGGAATGACAAACAGGAACAGAAAACTGAGGCCAAAAGAAAAATGCAGGCCTTCTTATAAGGGAAACACACAGATACACACACACACACACACACACACACGACACAAATACACATACAGACACATACAGAGACACATATACCAACATACACACATAGAGACACAGAGACACACATCAGGACCCAGCCTAGCCAGTGGGTTCCAAGATCCAGTCCAGGGCTTGAATTCTTCTGGGTTTCACTTTCCTCATCTATTAATAAGGATTTAGACCACTGGATCCCAACATGATTAACCCCACAAGAAATCAAATATTTTCTTTTTTATTATTATTTTATGTTTAATCACTGTACATCTTTACAGTGCACAACATTATTTTCTCAACAGGAATTCAGTGCATATGAGTCAAGTAAAAGACATTACCATATACATTATTGCCAGCAGATAACTTTTCATTTTTGTGTCCATTAAATGTGTCACTTGTATGTTTTTTTCTCTGGTCCCCTCCCTCCCACTCCCTGTTACCTACCCCCATCTCTCACCCCCTCCTATACTGGCTCTAGTAAGATCAGGTGTTTACTAGAAAAAGTGAGCATAGGTCAGGAGTAAGGAGCCAAAGGACCCTCAGCCTGAGTCCTGAGTCCTTGTTGGGTATCCCGGTTCCCATGGGTTCCTGTGGACCTGGGGAAGGGACCCATCAGTAGGAGCTCCCTGATTACACAGCCAAGGAGCTGGGCTCTTGCAGATGGCACAGAGGTCCCCTGGCAGCAGGTGCTACCGGAAGGGGAAAAGAGCAGAGAGGAGTGAGAGCGAGGAGTGCTTCACCTGGAGGTGCCCAAGCAGCAGCAACACAGCCCCCCACAGAACCCATACCAGCTCAGAAACCAGCCAGAGGCCAAGAGAGGCAGGTGATTACTGCACAGTAACACTGTTTCCAGACCAGATCACAGGGGCCCGCCCCCACAGCAGGCAAGCTCCCTCCACAATAAGCCCCATGCTGGAAGCAGCTGCCGCTCCTGCCTAATACATTTTTAATATGCTGATTTTACTCCCTGGTGCTTGCCAAGGTTTTGGGAACCTGAGAAACCAAAAATTCACATTTTCTACAGAGGTAGCTGCTGATCACTCCAATCCAGGCCTGCCTGGATACTTCTGAAGGTCATTAGAAAAGGAGCGACTTTCTCAGCCTTTTCACCTGCTGGCCCACACCCACTCCTCCTCCGTGAGAGCTATCCTGAATCTGAGACCCAGACCAGCAGGACCTGCATCCCAGAAAAGGTGGCAAGACAGGACTGTCTGCCAGCACCAGGTTGCCCATTCCCTTATCTCATCCTGCCCCCTGGTGTCAGAGACTGGAGTTACCTGGGCTCCACTGAAAAGAGGCCAGGGGATGCACAGTTCTGGCTCAGCATCCACCAAACAGGATCTTCCTACAAAGGCTCTTTTGGTGGTGAAGTGTGTGAATCTAGGTCCGAATCCTGATATGATTCTAGATCCTTGCTATGTGATCTTGACCAAGTCATATCTCCCCTGCACGAGTTTCCCAGCTGTAAGTGGGAGAGAATCTATCTCGCAGAGTTCTTGTAAGAATCACACAAGATAATTCCCAAAAGAAAATTCAAGCAGTGCTAGGCATAGATAAGGGTGCTCTCAAAGTGCATGGCCCATCATAATCTCCCTACTCATCAGAGTGAGCTAAGCCACACTGCCTCCACATCATCACCCACGACTTGGTTATTCCATGCATGGTTACTCCAGTTCCAGAACATCCAGCCCCCAGGCCCACCACCTTTGCAGGTTCTCTGGTGACATTAGGAAGTGGGTGTGGTTGGGTCTACAATGCTGGGAAGCCATGCCACTTCTGAAGGCTTTGTGCCCTGCTTTCCCTGTCATCCTCAGAAGATACCCTGGATCCAGAAGCCTGGCCTCCTCTTTGCCCACCTGCCTCCTCTTGACACAGCCTACTGACATGAGAGTGTGTCACTGACCCCACAGCTCAAAGTGTCCTTAGCATAAGATCCAGGCCAGAGGCTCAAGGGGTAAGTGGAGGTTCCCAGCCTGAACCACAGGGGCTCAGCAGCAGCCCTTCTCTTTCAGGGAGTCAGATGTCCCTGATGCTGAGCAGCCTGGCAGCAAAGTTTACAAAGCAATTTCTAGGAAAAGCCCACCGGGAATTGCAAGCTGAAAATATCATTGTTTGGATGCAGTGCTCTGCCCTGTGGGTGCCCATAAGAACCACATCTCTGGTACTATTGTGCCCAGAACCATCAAAGCTCTACTGACCTGAAAATGCTTGACTTTTAAAACTCTGGGTAGAAATGAACAACAGCAACATCTCTGTGGAGTGGGGATAATAAATTCTTCACTTAACAGGGAAGGCTGACCTCTGGTTTGAAGAAGTAGTTGTGGTCAGGCTGGGTCTGGCCAGAAAGAGGAGCCCCTTTCAGGTCATGTGGTCTTGGGAACTGGGACAGACAGCCATGCCTTCGGCCTGGGGACCTGTTTTCCTCATCATAGTGAAAGGGCAGGAATCATTTTACAAATTTCCACAGTGTGGCACCCCCTGGGCTTAGCTAGCCTCGCTTTAGAGCGGCACAAATATTAAAACAACATTATCTGTGTGCCTCTCCACAGGAAGCTGCATCCCCTCAGCAACAGAATCAGGAAAAATTTTAGTAAATTAAAAAATTATTCAAAAGAACATTTCTCTCTCACTGGGAAAAGAGCAGGGTGCCTCTTTTTTCCTGAGAGGAAAAAATGTTCTATAAAACCTCTTTCTTTGTAATCAGGTACATACAATAGGCATTAGTTCCAGGGAATTTCAACAGAAATCAGGAAAAAAGAGATAAGAAAATTCCAACCAGCCTATGAAAAGGGGAGTTACAGACCCACCACTGCCACACTTTGATTTTCTCCTTCTTGATGTGCTTGTTATGGGGGCGGGAAGAGTACATGTGGTAAAGTAATGAATCTTTTCCCAAAAGAAGCTTGACCTTTGTCCTCAGCTAGTGGGAGGTGACCTCTAAGGTATGCTGCCTGATAGGAGCACCAGTTTGCCTGAAGCCTTGGGTTAACCTGGAGAGTTTAGTGACATAATTTAGGGTAGGACTGACCATGCTGGAAAGACCAACCACGTGGCTTAAGGTGTGGGGTTCGGGCCACATGGTATCAGTTAACTGAGAGACTATGATTACCTATGTGGTCATCAGTCAATCATGCCTATATAACAGAACTAGAACAAGAACTCTGGACAGTGAGGCTCTGTGGAGCCTGCGTGCTTGGTAGTCTTCCAGGCATGTTGTTGATGCCAGGACAAGATCTCTTCTTTGATTCCTTTTCCTGGACTCTGCTCTTTGAGTCCTTTTCTTTGTCTAATCTTAATCTATGTCCTTTATCTAATGATCTCTGTGTTTCTTCAATTAAGAAACCACAGCTGTGAGTCTAACGGCTTTTTAAAAAATAATTATTTTATTTAACTATTTATTCATTTATTTTAATTTGGTCAGAAAGGGACAGAGAGAGAGAGAAGAGATAGTGATAAATTGAGCCGCCAGGTCCAAGATTTGAACCACAGTCAACTATGTGAGATTCCAGTGTTCTTAACCACTACGCCATCTGCTGGCCTCACTCTTACAGCTTTCAGTGAGTTCTGAGTCCTTCTAGTGAATTATGAACCCAAGAGTGGTCTTGGGGACCCCCAAACTTGCAATGGGTGTCAGAACTGAGGTTTTATATGAACTAAGTTTTTTAATTCTGTAGGTGGCCTGAAGTCTTGCTGATATGTGTGAGAGGGAGGAAAAGAGAGAGAGTAGAAATTGATATCTTTCTATAATTCTTGAAGTAGTATAATTCTATCTTCTGGAATACTAAAGTTACATATCCTGGAATTGACAAATCTAAGGGAAAGATTATCCCTACCTTTTCACCTCTAAATTCATGCCAACTGAATTAACTTGAGAATGTCCAAGAATTCCAGATGGATCAAGTCATAAAATCCTAGACGAGGCACAGATCTTGTTAGCTGCTCCTTTGCATAAGCCGACACCCCATGAGCCTGAAGATGCATGTGGAGACCAGGTAACTAGGCAGACCCTACTTTCCATTTTATGCCCAGACTTTGAAAGGAGAATGGAGCAAGGCAGGAGGGCAGCTTACGCTAGAACAAGACAAGGTGAAACTATTTCATTAGACTGCTGAGAGAGAGCTGGGGAACAAGCCAGCCTTGGCAAAGCCACCATCTGAGAAGCAAGGTTATGTCCGCGACATTAGTTCACACCTGCTAGCTGCTGTGAATGGGCGGCAGGTAACCCTGGCTAGGCTGCTTAGACGCACATACAGTGCCATTTATCCAGCATTTAGCTCCTCAGAATGCACTGACCTGAATCTTCTGGATTCTTAGGAAACAACCAGGCAGGGATATCAGCCGCTGGGACCTTCACAGGCAAATGCCCTTCAAGGAAAGTGGGGATTTCTCTGTGCAGAGAAACAAGCCAAGTGAACAAAGACCAATACTTGTCACATGTTCCCTAGACCCACAGAGCACAGTGGACCCTACCCATACGACCCTAGTTTAAACAGAGTGGCCTTCCCCACCCATCTGCAGGCTTGTGCAGGCTACATTTTTGTGAATCAACCATCTCCTTCACCCGATACCTTCTGCCTCCCCTGAGGCCAGCATATAGGATAGGCAAATAGTTTCCTCCCTGCACTGCCTTGTTTCTGAAAGAATTGCTGCTGGTGCCAAAGCTCTCCAGTCAGACAAAACAGGTTAACCCCTACCTTGCAGACGATTAAAAGGCTACTGGAAGGAAAGCCTTTGTGCAGGCTGACCTCAAGGGTTGGTAGTTCTTTATTGCTCATGACAGAATGCCTCTACCACCTTGACTGGCAGCGGCAGGGAGGCTGTGGGCAATATATAATGTCTCCCTTACTCGGATGAAACCCTTTTGATTTGGAATCTGATGCATTTAGCTCTGGGAGGCCAGACTTGGAAATGGGTCTGGCATTGGTCGATCACTCTGGATCCTAACTGGGTCAATGTCCTGCCAAAGTGTGACATCAGGGAGAAATTGCAGGGCCCATGCTGTGAGTCTCCTCCTAGATGGCCTGTCCTTATGCTGGTGTTGGCAGAAGCCTATGGATGAAGGCAATGCCTTGAACACATCTGTACTCCTCAAGAACTTATTATTCCTGTGCACGGTCTGAGTGTCATTACACGGCCACAGAGGGAAAAACAACCACCAGTTAATGATCATCACATTTATGGGCAAAATTCATTTCTTTGGCGGCTGTCCCTAAAGTGTCACTGATGTTTAGCCAAATGAGCCAAAAGGGTGATGGGGCACGGAAGCATTTGTGAGTGGGAGGCAGGAATAAATCTGCTGTGAGAGACTAATTTACACATTCCGTTTCGCAGCCTGAGCCTCACTTCGTGTCTAATATGATTATCGGCTGATTTCCGCCACCAGCAGCACCCCACCCTTGCTAGAAGGCAAGGGAGTGCTCAAAATAGGGCTTTTCATCTTTGTGTTTTTCTTTCTGCCTGCCCAGAGGTTCTTATAAAGTAGCTTTTTGCTGAGAAATTGCAGGGCCCATGCTGTGAGTCTCCTCCTAGATGGCCTGTCCTTATGCTGGTGTTGGCAGAAGCCTATGGATGAAGGCAATGCCTTGAACACATCTGTACTCCTCAAGAACTTATTATTCCTGTGCACGGTCTGAGTGTCATTACACGGCCACAGAGGGAAAAACAACCACCAGTTAATGATCATCACATTTATGGGCAAAATTCATTTCTTTGGCGGCTGTCCCTAAAGTGTCACTGATGTTTAGCCAAATGAGCCAAAAGGGTGATGGGGCACGGAAGCATTTGTGAGTGGGAGGCAGGAATAAATCTGCTGTGAGAGACTAATTTACACATTCCGTTTCGCAGCCTGAGCCTCACTTCGTGTCTAATATGATTATCGGCTGATTTCCGCCACCAGCAGCACCCCACCCTTGCTAGAAGGCAAGGGAGTGCTCAAAATAGGGCTTTTCATCTTTGTGTTTTTCTTTCTGCCTGCCCAGAGGTTCTTATAAAGTAGCTTTTTGCTTTTTTTTTTTTTCTTTAATCTAGCTGAAAATTTAGCCTTTACCAGTCTCTGCAAATTTCAGGGCTTTTATTCAAAGGATATCACAACTATGATCTTGTTGTAGAGCTGGCAGTTAGCTATGAGGATGCAATAAGGCCCACCGCTCGGAGCTTCTGTGCCGGGATGATGTTGGAGTTCCTGATTTTAATGTTCTGTGCTGATTTGCCATTTCATTCATTCCCAAGTGGAGAACGTTCTTGGCATTGTCAGGGCAGAGTGGTACTATGGTAGTTCCCAAAGTTCAGCTGCCTTGCAAAATGCTTCTGCACATATATGCGGACTCCCCAAGTGGATGGCAAGCCCTCCTCAGCAGGAGCCATACCTGTCAGCTTCCAGAGCCCTCACAGTCTGATGTTGCCCACAGTATTTCCCATGATGCTGAAACACACACAAGGAGCTCAGTGGATGTGTGATGAATAAAACAGATTTTGATGGCAGTTCCAGGGAATTGAGATGTGAGGAGGCGATTCCTGGTTTATTCTGGTTAAGAGGGGACTTCAGAAAGTTCATGAAAGAATGGAGTTAAAGGACAAGTTTATTTTGGTGCAAAAATACATGAAATCCATGCATCATTTTTCATCACATACATTTTCCATGAACTTTCTGAGGGTTCCTCATGTGAAAGTATGTAAGAATTTCCCTGGGTAGACAGCTATATCCTGAATACTAAAGAAAATGATCCTAAGTTGCTATATATAAAAACAGAAGCACAGCTGAATTTTTAGAAGACACACAGTTAATTGGCCATAAAAAAGAAAATCCAAAACTTAAAAAGATAAGTGAATGAGAGAAAGAAGAAAAAGTATGAGGGAATAAGGGATTCTCCAGGATTCCCACTTGTAGGGCAAAGAGACAAGGGGAACAGGCTGTGAGAGTGACCATGATGGCCTCGAATGGAGCCCATTGAGTCAGGCCCTGGATAATAACCTCCTGTTAATCATGATACTAAAACAGGAGCAGGTGCCATCGACCCAGAGCTGTATCTTGATAGCAGAAGGTTGTAGGATATCTGAAGCAGAAAATGGACTGTTGTACCCAAACATTTTAAAGTCACAGACTATTGATTAATCTACAAAGTAGGCTACAAGAATTCCATTAAATGTTTAGCCACTAGTGAGAACTCCGCAAAGAGGCCTCCCACCTGCCAGCCCCTTCTACCGGTCCCTCCTCTCCATCTTTGCATGCTGATGTTTCCTACATGTTTAAAGCCCATTCAGTGCTACCAACTCTACAGAGACCATTTCTTGCTCAATACTGGAGGCCCTTTGAAACTCTGACATTTTCTGATGGCTGCAGCAGGAGCGCTCTGAGTCTCTGGGGGTGCCCTATGAAGCTCTGAGCCTGTACATCCTTTTTCAATCTCCTTGTATCTAGTAGGAACTTGGCAAATTTGCAAGGGATTGATTCATGTGAAGAATTAAGATTATTTTCTAACAGCAGACAATTGTCCTGTTGTAAGGTTGTTATTGCTCAGCCATGTCTGGCAGAAGGTGAAGGTAAGCTATTAAGAAAACTTTTATTCAGGTCAAATAAAAGAGAACACTAAAAAAGCAAGCTGTAAGATTTTTTTTTTCTTGTTCTTTTTCTTCCTCTCTTTCTCTTTAATTATTACATCTTTCTTTTAAACATAAAGGGTCAGAGTGTAAGAGATAATCCCTCATCATCTAGGCCACCATCTATTGGCAGTAATGGGACATACTCCGGCCCAGGATGACCTAAGTTAATGAGTCTACTGACTGCTAATTAGTAGAAAATTCTCTTCAACTTTCTCATCAGCCCTGTAATATTTGTCAAAGGCAAATATTGAACTGTGGATGTAGTGGTGTTTAAGCAGTGGATTTACGGTATGGGCAAGAATACAAAGTTTCCTCGGATTCAACAATCCTATGTCTTTCGTATGTATTGTCACTGCCATCCATTCTTTCACCAAATGGTTTTTGAGTATCTACTAGTATACACCAGACACTGTGCCGGGTGCTGGGATCATGTCAGTGAACAAAACCCAATCGCTACCTTCAGAGGACTTGCAGCTCATGTGGGAGAACAACCACACAAGAGGTCTGCACCAGCATCACCTGCCTGCTATTATAGTGACGCTTCTTACTGTGGCCCTAATGTTGGAAGGGTAGGGGTATAGCTGATCAGGAACAAAGAAATGGAGTGTACATGCAGAATTCAGAAAGGTATACAGAGCAGTCAGCATTGCTATTGTTTTTTTTTTTTTTTTTTTTGAGAGGTTTTTGCTATAGGGCGCATGCGCTCGCCAGACAGAGAGAGACAGAGAGACAGACAGAAAGCGAGAAATCACCCCCCACAGGGGATGGCCACCCCGCCATCCCTCCTCCTCCGTTCTCCTCTCGGGATCTTGGGCACGCATGCACACGCACCCGGCGTGAGTTTTGTTTTTTGGTTTTTTTTTATTTATTTACGTTCATTCATTGTACATCATTACAGCATACAAAATGAGATTTTCCATCCAGAGTACACTGTATATTGTCTCAATCAAGCCCAGCGTGAGTTTTCTTTTTTTTTTTTTGGAGAGATTTTCACTGTAGGGCGCGTGCGCTCGCCAGACAGACAGAGAGAGACATAGAGACAGAAAGCGCCAGGGGGGATGTGCGCGCCGCAATCCCTTCTCCTCCATTCTCCTCTCGGGATCTTGGGCATGCACGCACACGCGCCCGGCGTGAGTTTTAAGCCACCGGGTCCGGGACACGAACCGCGGTCGACTACGTGGGAGTCCAGCGACATAGCCATTACGCTAACTGCTGGTTCCCCAAGCCCAGCGTGAGTTTTAAGCCACCGGGTCTGGGACGCGAACCACGGTCGACTACGTGGGAATCCAGCAACATAGCCATTACGCCAACTGCTGGTCCCGCGCATTGCTATTGTTTAGTTTTGTGTTTCCCTCGGGATCTCTTACAATCCAAGCTGGTGTCCTGGAGGCGCGGAGGAAGGGGGGAGAGGAAATTCAAGAATGGCCCCCCTGCCCATCACGAGGGGTGACCTCCCCAGACAGGGGCTCCACTGAATACTAACTATTCACTGAGAGTTTCTGTCAGGGGACCAGCAGATGGTATAACGGTTAGGTGGCTGGACTCCCATGTAATCGGCCACAGTTTGAGTCCCATATCCAACAACTTAAAATACATACTGAGCGTGTGTACGTGCATGCTCAAAATCCTGAGAGGAGAATGGAGGAGAAGGAATTGTGATGAGGTCATCCCCTATGGGGGATGACTTCTCAATTTCTGTCTGTCTCTCTCTCTCTCTGTCTCTCCAACAACCACACATGCCCTATAGCAAAAATTTCTCTTAAAAAAATGTTTCTGTTGATTTCCTCCTGGTGGGCCTGAAAGATGCTTAGATCTTGAAAGGTAAAAGAAGGCATAGGTGACCCTGATCACCTTCTATTCCTTTCCTCCTCCAAGTTGCCTCTCCTGGCCCCCCTCCCCCTTAAGCAGGATTGACACCTTGCACTGTCATAGCATGTGGCTTCTCCCCTGTGGCTCCTATCACTTTGCAAATTTACAATTCTTGATATGGTTATTCTATGAACACTCAGCTTCCCCCGCTGGACTTAAAGCACTGAAGAGGCTGGCAGGATTGAGCTTATTGCCATTGTAACCCTGACACATAGCAAATGTATGGTGGATGAATGAGTGGATGGATGGATGAACATGTTCCAGGATAGAGGGGAGAGCAAAGAGGCTGCCAAGCTGCTTCCATGTCCTGACAGAAACGTGCAGAGACTAGAAAAGCAGATTTAATTTAGAGAGGTGTGGAGGGCATCTGGTAATGTTCTCATTGAGGACATGAAATTGAAGCTGAGTTGAGCTTTGAAGAATGGATTAATCAAGCAAAATGGTGGTGGGCAAGGAGCTGAAAAGGTCCTCAGAGGAAAGTAGAGGAGCTTTGGGGGTCTGGGGCTTAGAAGGGGGGCAGTTGTGCACAGCAGAGGGTAGGAGAGAGCATTGGGGCTAGGTGAGTCTGGGGTGAGGGACAGGTGAGAGAGCTTAAAGGCCTTATGTACATTCATTTAACACTCACTGTGCATAAACTATGTGCTAGGCACCATGCTGCCCTTCTAAGTCATGCTAAGACTACTGATCTTTTTCTTTCTCAGTTTCTTTCTTTCTTCCTTTGTGCCAGAGGGTGTCTCAGAGACAGAGAGACAGAAAGGGAGAGGGAGAAAGCAGCCCAAATTGGACATGGTCTTGTCACATTCTCCTCCATTTCTCCATCTGCTTGGATTTGAGGCATGCATACACACACTCATGCGCTTTTCAAGAGTCTGAGATTTGAACTTCATGTGAGATCCAGCTCCCTCAGCCACCAGGCCACAGGGCTGGCCCAGGACTGTTGGTCTTGATTCTAGAAGCAACAAGGAATACTACAGAGCTTCAGCAGGGGCTCAGGTCACCATTTATGAGGAATCACCATGGCTGCCATGGGCAGTATGGGCCAGAGGAGCTAGAGGGGACCAGCTGTGAGGCTTTGTAGTCTAGAATTAATAAGAAATGGCAACTGATTGGACATGGGCAATAAGAAGGACAGAGAACTGTCAAGATGACCCTGGGGTAAGGCCTGAGTGGCTGGGTGCCTAGAAACACTATTCACATCCTAGAATGGGAGTAAGAGAGGAACAAGGCATGTTTGTGGAGGAAGATCGAGAGTTTGGGATGTTAAAGTCTAGATGGCATGGAGGGACCTGAGCCTCAACCAGGAACATTTGGGCAGTGCAGCGTTTGTATCGATGGGACACTAAACACGAACAATTGCACAGCCAAAAATCAGCTGTGGTAATCAATCCCTAGTTTATGAGAACTCTGAGCTCAGAAAGATTCCAAAACAAAAACCACTGAAACAAGCTCATGAAGTAAATCTCAGTGAAAATGGAATAGGTTAGGTGTTTAATAGAGTATTTTTTTAACAGCTGGCAGTGATTGTGTTTCCTTTAGAATGCATTTCCTGCCAGTTACACAGATGTCTTCCCTTCCAGTATATACCATGAGAAATAACAGTGAGAAGCACAGGGCTAACAAGGATGACAGATACAACAGCCAGGAAGGTGAGTGGACATGTGTGAGCATATGAGTGTGCAATGAGTGTGTACACTAAGACTACAAGTGTCTTCACTCACTGCCCAAAGCAAAACTCCAAGTGCAGTCTAATTTCAGGAGCTCCACCTAATTCCCTAATAATGCATTTCTAAAAAGAAAGAAGAGCCTACATAGTTCTGAAAGGCTGGCAGGAACCTTAAATACTCTCACTTTTTATCCACTAAAAAGAGGCATCAACTGTATGTAGAGGATTTGAGGGAGTCATTCCATTACAGCAGAGAACATTAATGCTTTTGGAAGAGAATATGAATCACACCTCTGCTATGGAACAATGCACAAAGGGACCCTCAAGCAGTACAAGTACAATACAGTTCACTTTTTCAACCTTTAATGTTTTTGACAAAACTGCCTGATTTAAATGTCCTCACCTGTAAAAAACTAATAGTAATAATAAAGGAAATACCATTCTCACAGTCCAAGTTGTTATGTACCTTGTATAGGAAGTCTGCCTCCATGCAGTTGGATTGCAGCCAACACCAGACCAGGACAGAGAATGGGGCCCTGTCTTCCAGCCCGGCCAAGGGTGTCTAGGCCACCTCATCTCTTTCTGAAGACTTACAGTGTAAAGTTCAGATAATTCAGGACCTAGGAGCATAGGTATAAACGGTAAGGCTGGATTTCGTTATTTTTTAACTCTTAAAAAGGTGAAACTGGTCATCTGGTCAAATTTAAGAACCCCTCCCTGAGCTGAGCCCCAGACTAGGAGGCAGAGAGTGTGGGATTAAACCACACGGAGGGATGTGGCCAATTCTAGGGCTGAATTGTTAGAAAAGGAGCCATCGAGACCAGCAGATGGCACAATGGTTAAATTGCAGGACTCCCACATAGCAGACCTCAGTTGGGGTCCTGGACCCAGAGGATTAAGCTCTCTTGGGATGTATGCATGCGTGCCCAAAATCCCCAAAGGAAAATGGAGAAGGGATTGCAGCGTGCCCTCCCCCCCACTTTGTCTCGCTGTCTCTCTTTCTGGAGGGCACACATGCCCTAAAGCAAAAACCTCTCTTACAAAAAAAAAAAAGAAGGGCCATCGATTTCCTTGCCCACCTTCCGGAGGACCAGAAGAGGTTTGGCCAGAGGCCGAGCACGGGTTAGGGTGGACAGCTGGGCCAGGTAGGACGCCACCCCAGCTGGGTCCCCAGAACGTCGGGTACCACAGAGGTTACTTCCCGGGGTGGGCTGCGGTAACCAACGGAAAACGGCAACCGCAGAGGGCACAGCCGCAATAACGCAAGGCCCCCTAGATGGAGTGGCCTGACCGTGGTGCCCAACACAGCTCACCGGCGATCAGAAACCGGGGCCCACGAGCACAAGGGAAACCTGCCTCCCAAGCCAGCACGAAGGAGGCGGCGAGGAGAAACACCGGTCCCGCCTCCTGAAGACAGGTGACCGACGGCCCACGAGGGTCCCAGTGCAGACGCCCTCGGGAACATGCCCGTCAAATATGGAGGCCCTCCCTCTCATCCTAACAGCTGCAGACGTACCCGAGAAAGTACCCCTCTTAAACACGGCCGTCAGTCCTCTCTACGGACACAGAGGAACCAAGGCCAGTGACCCTCTCAAACGTGGCCGCCCGCCCCCCCAAACATGGCGGCCACAGATGCGCCAAAGGAAGTGCCCGCCTCAAACAGGGCCGCCCTACGTCCCAAACGCGGCGAACGGACACACTCAGGGACGTGCCCCTCTCAAACATGGCCACCGCCCTCGCAAACAGGCAGCCACAGATGCACTAAAGGAAGTGCCCTTCTCCAACATGGCCGGCCGATCGCCCAACGTCCGGCTTCGGCCATCAGCCCCCAGGCCCGAGCCCTGCCAAATGCGCCTGCTCTCACAAAGAATCCAATGTATTGGGTCACATGCATAGCAACTCCGGGCTGTGATTAGCCAGCCTTCTGGTGACGTCAGACGCCGCAGCGGCGAAGGCTGAGGACCTCCCGGTTGCCGCTCCGCAGAGAAGCGTTAGGCGGGCGGGGGGTGGCCGTGTCGCTCACACTCATGAGGAGCCGGAAGGTGAGGGCCAGAAGGTCAGCAGGGGCTGCACCGAGAAGGGAGTTCCGAACCACCTACTGTCGGGGAGCCAAGGAGGTGCTATGGGTTGCCTTGGGCGGAGGTGCGGCCTCCGAGAGGGACTCGCCCCTGGGGGAGGGTATTTCCGAACCACACCCCCTGGGAAGGGACTTCTTGACTACGCCCAAGGGGAGGGGGTCTTTGGTCACTCCTGGGGAGGGCCCTCGACACTCCCCTAAGTGGGGTCTTTGGCCACTCCCTGGGAAGGGTGCCATCGGTGCCATACTCCAGGAATTGGAGCGCCCTCTCCAGAACTGGTCTCAACCCATGGTAGTTCTGTGTACTGAGGAGGCAAGGGTTTCTTCTGCTGTCACTCAAATGGAGGTCACTTAGCAGATGATCTTAGCTTGGGCTAAGGTTGTGTGCAAAGTGGAGTGATGAAGGAGGACCAGTGCCTGGCAAGTGGATCTTTCTGGATTGAGAATTAGGGAGAGGCACAAGCAACCCAAGCCCCAGCTGCTGAGGAGGGTCTGTTCATGTGGGCCAGGTTGTGGCCTCTTGGGCACTCCTAATTTGTTCAAGTCTTGTGACCTCAGGTCAATTCTAAGGGCATTTACTCTTGTGTCTTTGAATCTAAAGTGTGTCTCCTGTAGAAAGAATATATTTGGATTTTTTTTGCCATAGGGCAGGTGCCACCACGCCCCCTTTTAAAAGGTATTCTAGTCTCTGCCTTTTGATCAAATCATTTAGCCCATTAACATTTAATGTTATTGATATAGCTAGATTTACATATATCATTTTGCTTCTTTTCTTTTTTTCAGCTTTATTTCTCTTTTTCATGATAGCAAGAGAGAGAGACAGAGACAGGTACCCTTGGCAGGTACCACACAGCAATCTTTCCTCCAGCTGGCTACATGTGTATAGGTGCACCAAGTGGTTTCCTAACCAAGGCCTCCTAGAGGTTCCAGTATCATGCAGTGACACCCTACCAGCTATGCCACCACAGGCAGGCCAACTTTTTGTCTTCTTTATATCAATACATTTTTTTTTCCTTCCCCTGATCTTCCTTTAAATGGATTAAAGTGAATTTGTTGACCAGCCCAAGTGGTGCATGCCACTGAGACACTGTGCTTCACAGGCTGGGGCCACATGGGAGGCCAAGCAGAGTAGTGGTGCGCACATGCAATCTCAATAACTTAGGGATGCTGAGGCAGGAGGATTGAAAACTGGGAAGACCCTATGTTTAGAAATAAAAAGTGTTGTGCCAGCTGGTGGGTGATGTGGTTTAGGTGGCTGGATCCCACATGTCTGACTGTGTGATTCAAGTCCTGGATGTGGCATCTTGAAAAACACCATGCCCACATGCAGAGAAGACTGGAGAAGAGATTATGGTATGTCCATCCCCCATGAAGGATGCTTTCTTACTTTCTCTCTCTCTCTCCTCTCGCCCCCAGTCAATACGTACACCCTATAGCAAAATTTTGAAACTAATAAATGAAAGTGAATATTTTCTTTGCATAAATGAATGCTTGTTAACATTGCATTTTAACTTAATGACTTTAAAACTGTATCATTTGCTTTATTTCCAGTGGGTGTTCCATGTCTAATCACATACATCTTAACTTAATCAGCTGCTAATTTGTACTGCTTAATTCCAGTGAGATACACACATGCTACTCTTTATATTATTTTTTTTCAATTTTTTAAAAGAATTATTTTACCTTATTTATTCATTTTAATTTGATCAGAGAGGGACATAGTGAAAGAGGGAGGGAAAGTGAGGTGAGCTGCCAGGTCCAGGACTTGAACCGTGGTCAGCCTTGTGGGAATCCAGCACCTTTAACCACCATGTCACCTGCTGGCCCCCAATATTACTCGTTTTTAACTAACTTTTTGTGATATTTTGTTATACGTACGTTGTCTATTGTTACGAATTCAGCAATACTGTGTTGTAGTTATTACTTTACCATCTGTAATCATTTCCTTAACCATCTAGGGCTATGCTTCTACCCACCTCATTTGTTACTGGCAAGTATATAGCACATGTTTGTGTGTATTAAATATTATTTTACATGACTGCTTTTTAAACCAATTAAGAGAAGAAAGGCGAAAAACAAGCATTTAAGCTCTCTTTTATAAGGAGATCATTATCTTTACTCGTGCCCTTTTTGTGTGTTTAGATTTTAATTATTGTGGGGGGTCACTTATTTTTAGCCATGAGAACTTCTGTTAATATTTCTTTTAAAATGAATGTGCTGTCAACAACAACTCTCCATTTTATCTATGAATGTCTTTCTTTTGCCTTCATTTTTGAAGTATAGCTTTGATGGATGTATGATTCTTAGTTTGACAGTGTTTTCATTGAACAGTCTGAGTGTGTTTGAAAATTCTCACTGTTGCGGCCTCCATTGTTTCTGCCAAAAAGTCAGCAGTTCACTTACTAAGGTTCCCCTCTTCTAATTAAGGAGTCGTTTTTCTCTAGTTACTTTCAAGATTTTTGTTCTTGTCTTAGAGCTTCAGCATTTTTACAATGGTGTATGTGTTTGTGGATCACTGCATTTATCCTGCTTGGATTTTAATCTATTAAGATTTCTGGATATGTAGGTTTTTTGGTTTGTTTTTTTTTTTTTTTTTAAAGTTTGGGCAGTTTTCAGCCATTTCTTTGAATATTTTTCAACTGTTGTCTTTCTCCTTTTTCTGATAGTCCCATTACACATATGTTGGTGTACTTAATAGTGTCCAACATTTCTCCGAGGCTCTTTTCATTTTCTTTGTTTTCCTTTCTGTCCTATAGCTTGCATATTCCATCAACTCTATCTTCAAGTTTACTTATTATTTCTTCTGATGGATCATATCTTCTTCTTAGACCTTCTAGTGCATTTTTTCATTTCATTTATTGCACTTTTCAACTCCAGAATTCCGATTTGGCTCTTTTTCTTTCTTTTTTTTCTTTTTTTGGAGAGGTTTTTGCTATAGGGCGCGTGCGTTCACCAGACGGACAGAGAGAGACAGAGAGATAGAAAGCGAGAAATCACCCCCCCAGAGGGGATGGCCACGCTGCAATCCCTTGTCCTCCATTCTCCTCTCGGGATCTTGGGCACGCACGCACACGCGCCCGGTGTGAGTTTAAGCCACCGGCTCCGGGACTCGAACCGTGATCAACTACGTGGGAGTCCAGCGACATAGCCATTACGCTAACTGCTGGTCCCCCGATTTGGCTCTTTTTCTAATCATCTTAATTTTTTATTTTTTAAGAGAGGTTTTTGCTATAAGATGTGTGTGCTTACCAGAGAGACAGAGAGAAAGAGACAGTAAGCAAGAAATCATCCCTCAGGGAAGATGGCTGTGCCACAGTGCCTTCTCCTCCATTCTCCTCTCAGGATTTGGAGCACACGGGCTGGGTGTGAGTTTCAAGCCACCAGGTCTGGGACTCAAACCATGGTCAACCATGTAGGAGTCCAGCGCCTTAACTACTATGTCACTTGCTGGCCCCCTCATCTTAATCTCTTTATTGATAGTCAGATGCCAGATTGTCATATCTTTACTTCTTTATTAATTGTTTCTTTAGCTCTTAAATGTGTTTATAAAGGCTACTGTGAAGTCTTTTTCTGATAAATTTATTCCAGTGTGAGAGAGTTTCAAAAGTTCATGGAAGGGGCCAGCAGGTGGCATAGTGGGCAAGGAGCTGGACTCCCACATGGTAGACCACAGTACAAGTCTTAGACCCTGCAGCTCAAAACTCACACCCGGCACATGTGTGTGTGTGACCAGGATCCTAGAAGGATATTGTGGCATGGCTACCCCCACTGGGGAAGTGATTTCTCGCTTTTTGTCTCTCTGTCTCTGCTGCAAGTGCACATGTCCAAAAATATATTTAAAAAAAAAAAGTTCATGGGAAATGGAATTAAATTGCAAGTTTATTTTGGTGCAGAAAATTTTGAAATCATGCAGTTTTGTTGTTTTTCATTTTTTGGTTTTTGTTTTTTTGGGTTTTTTTTTTTTTTTCCAGGGGTTTTTGCTATAGGAAGGTTTTTGCTATAGGACACTTGCCAGAAAGACAGACAGAAAGTGAGAAATCATCCCCCAGGGGGGATGGCATGCCACAATCCCTTCTCCTCCATTCTCCTCTCGGGATCTTGGGCATGCACGCACACGTGCCCGGCGTGAGTTTAAGCCACCGGGCCCGGGACTCAAATTGCAGTCGATTGCATGGGAGTCCAGTGACGTAGCCATTACGCTAACTGCTGGTCCCCATGCAGTTTTTTTTTATTATACACATCATCTATTAACTTTTTGAAAACTTCTTATTGAGTCTTTCTTGTTTCTTTTCATGCGCCATAATTCTTCATTGGAAACTATACATTTTAGATACTATATTTTTTAGCCACTCTCAATACTGACCCCACCCAACCCCAGGGCTTGTTATGATTGATATGCTTATTTGTTTAGTCCGGATGGATTATTTTAGTGAAGTCTCTCCTGCCACAGTGTTCAGCCTCTGACATGCCTGCAGAAAGTGTTGTGGGGAGAGATCCTGCATGGGTGTGCCAACAGCAGTCCTAAGATGGCAGCAGCTTTGTTGGGGCTCTCCTCTTTGCCTGACTACACCCAGCTTTTAAACTCCAGTAATGTTAGCTAACTCCTCTATTGCTCTCAACAAGGCCTGGGGCATACATTGCTCTACAGAGTAAGCCAATCAAATTGTGGCTTCTCCAAAGGAAGAGTTTCCAGGGTCGCTGTTTGGTTAGTTTGTCCTAACCCCAGGAAGCCCTCCCAGCTGTGTTTGACCTTGGGTCCCTCCTACAAAGCAGCTGGCCACAGTTCAGCCTGTAGCTTGATTCTGCTGCCAGCTGTCTTTGATCACAGCCTCTACTCATCTTGAGAGACCCTTAGGCTTGAACCTCTCCACACTCTGTTCCAAATGAAGTCAGTACTTTTGGGAAGACTTAGGAGCTGTCTGTCTTGTTGCCTCCCTCTCCTCATAAACAGTGTATCTGAGCCAGGGCTCTGTGGTTGGGGACAATGACATGCTTTTCTCTGAATTATTCACTGGCTCTAAGAGCTTGTGGAGAGTTGTTGGGGGCAGGCAGAAAGCAGCCTATGATCCGTGGCTTGCCTTCCCTGGCCTGGAAGGACAAGGGGGATGGGGTCCCAGTCTTCTTAGTGTGCTGCACCCAAGATGGCACCTCCATTCCACAAGCAAGGTCTGGACAGGATGAGAAGCACTGCTGTGCTGCTTCTGGACGGAAAGCCCAGCTCAGAGTCAGGGGCAGGGGAGGAGGTGGTTGGCTGCACCTGAATGGCACCCGAATACCAGAGACTCTCACCCTTCTTGCCGAATTCTCACAGGTATCCTTGAGCAGATTTTTTTTTTTGTTCTGTTTGCCTATAGGACCAATTCCAAGTGGTTGTTCTTATACTTTCCACCACTTTCCCTGGGGAGAAGCTCAGTGAAGCTGGTGATGCTGTCATTCCAGGAGCCAGTTTTTGGGAAATAACCATTTGTTCTACATTCTACTTGAAATGAGACTCTTGATGAGAGCATTCATTGTTCTGAGGTTGTTTATATGGGAGCAAGTTGCCCAACTGAAAAACAAGACTTTCCCAAGTGAGAAAGAAATATAATAGATTCTGACATTTTAAAACTGGCACCATAGAGGGGGGGTTTCTCCATAATGACACTGAAGCCACTGTGCTGTCACATTTGACTCTTGCAGATCCAGAGTGGGTGTCAGATGGCCTGCTCAAGTTCCTGCAACAACCACTGCTTTTAGGCCCACCTAAGTCCTACTGAGCCTGTGTCTGCAGAAGGGGCCTGAAAGGCTGAATTTAACTAGCCCATCTGATAACTATGTTGCACCCTAAATTTTCACAACAGCTGCTTCAAAGATTTAAGACAGAAAGCATTTAGTAACACTTGCTACTGGAAAAGGGCCTATATGGTTTAGAACTGAGAGCTGGTGACAGGTTTTCTGATTCCCTGCTGCACATAGGCATTCACATGTGCAGCTTTTAGTGACCATTTCAGGGGGACCATGGTAATGGAGCAAGGACTCCAGCCAGATGTCACTTGTATGACCTCATCTAAAATGATAATGCTGCTCAGGCACGTGATGGTGCCTGGCACAGCGACACTCAGTGATAGAAGCAGTTGCCTTCTGTATAGGAAAATGTCTGGGGGATGACTCACAGCAGGAAGCAGGGATGGTCAGTGGCTTTATAGGATTAGAATGTTTATTTCCTGAGAGTGTTTTAGGGAGATGGCTTTGTTCAGGATGAAGACCAAGTGGTAGGATTTTATCCCAGTGAGATGTTCGTGGCAGCTGCTATGGTCTGAACATCTCCCCCCAAAATTCATGTGTTAAAATTTGGTGAGCCATTCTAAGGGTGTTGAGAGGGTGGAGACTTAATCCAGTTATGGTGTATTGAAAGATGGGGCGTTTGGAAAGTGATTAGACATTAGAGTGGGGCTCCTGATGGGTTTATAAGGAGAGGAGATTAGACAGGCAACTCCTGGTCTCTGCCATGTTATCTACGGCAGCTCTTACCAAGCTGCATAGGCTCAGTTCCCTCAGTGTAGCTGTGACTGTCCCTGCTCTGGAAGCATACCCTGCTCTTGTGAAGTGACATGAGCCCAGTCCCAGCTGCGGGTTCTTCACCTGCGAGAGCCTTGTTGATACTGGGTAGAGCTGGGTAATGCCCTGTCCTTGCATAGATTGCTGCATTTTTCTCTTCCCTCCTTTTAAAGCACATTCTCCAAATACTACAGTATCACAGGGCCTTGGAAGCTGTCTCCACTGAGGTTTCTGGAAGCACCTTGAGTGATGGGCTGCAGTAGGGGATGGGAGAGATATCCTTGCAATTATTTCTAAATGAGCTTTTTTTCCTATTTTATTTCTTCTGTCTCCTGTTGGATGAAATGCCCTTAACCTGTCCTGAATAGACAGATTTCCAATTTAAGCACCTATTATAACAGCAGCTTTCAAGCCTCTTAATTACAATTTCTACCTTTTTTTTCTCACTGCTATTCATTGCTTCTCTTTATTACTCTCACTCCTTTCAAGTTTTACAGTGACTTTTAAAACATATTATTTTCTAAGTGTAATATGAGTTCCTGGACTAGATTCTGGAACAGAAAAAGGAATTCATAGAAAAACTGATAAAATTCAAATAAAATCTGTTGTTTAGTTAACAGTGTTGTACCAAAGCTAATTTCTTAGTGGTTGTTTAACCATTAAGATGGGTGAAGGTTACATGGGGACTTTGTGTACTATTTTTTTTTTCTTTTCTGAAAACGGAAAACCTAAATAAAGTTTGCTTGTTTTTGTTTTTTTTTTTCGTTTTTTGTTGTTGTTGTTGTTGTTGTTGCATTTGCAATAGGGCGTATGCACTCTAAAGAGAGAGGAAAAGTGAGAAAGCACCCCCAAAGATATGGCCACGCCACAACCCATTCTCCTCTATTCTCCTCTCAGGAGTTTGGGCACACACATACACATATACATTGTGTATTTTCTAGTCACCAAGTCCAGAATTAGAACAGAAGAAATAAATGCAGTCAGCCTTGTGGGATCCAGCTGCCTCAACCACCACAGTACCTAGCTGGCCCAAAGTTATTTTAAATGTTATGACTTTAAGTAATTTGATATTATAAGACTTTCCTTTGCATTCAAAATAGAGGTGGGCCAGTTTATTAATATTAAGATTTATGATACTCCATGAAATACTATTCAGCCATAAAAAACAAGACCCTGGCATTTGATAGAAAGTGGACGAACATGGAACATTTATTGCTGAGTGAAGTAAGACAGACTATGAAACAGACTTTGTATGTCTCCACTTAACATATACCAACTGTCTACACTCTGTAGTAGAGACTGAAAGACTAGATGACATAAAAGCATTGAAAATTGTTATGGAACTGGGAACAAAGTGGAAGGAGAGTACAAGAGGGGAAGAGTGCAAGAAGGGAAATTTGGGGGGAAATTGAGAAGTAAGACATTTGTGGGACACATATGGTTTGTTGCCTGTTGGTGATGTGTATAGTATTGTCAACTCACCTGCTATGCGGAGTATATCATATTGGGTAAAGTCTCTTCACAAACTAAACTGATGTATAACGATTGAATTTAGAAATAATAATAAAATTATGTTAAATAAAAATTTTTTAAAATGTTAAGATTTATGAGATAGAAGCTAACTGCTTTAAACTAATAAAAGTAGGACTACAGAGAGAGTAGTATGAGGGGTTAGATTTTGTTTTTTTATGTTGCCTTTTATCAAGAACTTTTGATACCATATAAAAGTTTGCAGGGGCTGGACCTATGGCCTCACTTAAGGGAGCCAACTCACACAGGCCCAACCATGGTTCCAGTACTGGCCCCAGCATCTTGGAAAACACACTGGGTGAATGTGTGTGCATGTGCTCCAAATCCCAACAAGATGGAGAAATGGAGAAGGAATTGTGACTTGACCACGCCCCTTTGAGTAGGGCTTTCTTTCTCTCTCTTCTTTTTCTCTCATGAGTGTATGCACCCTTTGACAAGTTTGTGGGGGTTTTTTGGAGAGGTTTTTGCTATAGGGAGCGTGTGCTTGCCAGAAAGAGACAGAAAGCGAGAAATCACCATCCCCCCCTGGGGGGGGGAGTATGGCCACACCGCAGTCCATTCATTCTCGGGATCTTGGGCATGCATGCACACTCGCCCATCGTGAGTTTAAGCCACCGGCTCCGGTATCAAACCACGGTCGAACAACATAGCCATTAAGCTAACTGCTGGTCCCAACAGTTTAAAGTTAATTGGATATCCATTAACTTACAAATAGTGGTTCCTGAAAACATATAAAATAAGGGGATGAATTGGAGTTTATTTTTTTCATGAGCGAAAGTGACACACACAAAAAAATGGACCCTCAATAGGGTTTCATGATGTCATCTCTCCACTCCCACCTCATGCTTCCCAGTTAGTCAGGATCATAGGTGTACCCCCAGGATATACAGGTCGAATGGTGAACTGAACACGTGGTCTTCCATATGGATCCAGCATCACTCGAGATGCACAGAGGTGCATCACCTCTGCCCACCAATCCAGCCCAGATCTTGTATCTTAAATACAGGTGGACTTTTGTTTGAATTGACAAGTTTAGGCCATGGGTATCTTTCCATGCAGGTAGTAAAAGGGTTGCAAAAGACTGTTTTCAGGTTTTCTTTAGTTGGTGAATATCTGTCTACGTGCTCTCATGAGAGCATTTTCTGACTGAGTCTCTCTGTCTGGCCTAGCTCACAGGTGGAGTGCGATCTTCAGCACGTCTGAGAGCTCGAAGTTGTTCAACAGCTGGGTTGGCCTCTGCCCAGGACATCGCCGGCTCCACGTCTGCCAAAACAACATGTCTGGTGAGTCACATTACCATGGAGAAGGCCACAGCCCTAACTCACAAGGCCTTTTTTATACAAAATTGTCACTCTGAGAGATGTGTTGTTTTAGCCTAACAATGACTATTGCTTATATTCCAGAGGGGGTTATTTCAGAGCTATTTCACTGTCTAAGGCCCACTTGCTAATCATTCTTTGCATCACCATGCTACTTCACCCCCCAGAAGCTTTAAGAGAAAGGTAAAGTAGGCTAGAGAGGAGAGCCTTGTACAGTTGCTGTTCAGTGAAGGGCAGCTGTCCCCTCCAAAGAATCTCAGTTCCTAAACATACTTCCAAGGTAGATCTGCCTCACTGAGCCCACACCTCAGGATAAGACTCTGCTGTACAGCAATTAGTGTTTCACTCATAGTAGGTTGATTGTTGAGATTTTGTTGAAGTTAATAAGTGTTCATTGAGCACCTAATCATGCCAGACACTGTTTAGGGAATAGTGACAATCCTTGCCCTTGAGGAGCTTATATTCTAGCAGGCATAAAGGAACACTTGATTTTTATTTTTATTTTTTTAGATTTTTTGCCATAGGATGTATACATTCACAAGAAAGAGAGAAAGACAGAGCAGGAAAGTGAGAAATCACCCCTGAGGGGATGGCCACACCACAATCCCTTCATTCTCTTCTCAGGATTTTGGACATGCATGCATATGTTTGCAGGCCTCCAGGTCCAGGACCCAAACCACAAAGTCAGCTATGTGGGATTTAACACCTTAACCACTGTGCTACCTATCGGCCCAGAATGCTAGATTCTTTTATTATAATTTTATAACAAGTAAATACATGCTTCTGAATTTGCCTCAGGAAGTATTAATATAACAGACCGAAGGAAAACTGACAATGAAAGAGTAATATTGGGGTATGGATCTAGATCTGTTCCCAGCCATCAACTCGGATCCTGTCATTTGGTGTCAGAACAGTGAAATGGCTGTTAAAGCTGGTTACCGCATTTTCATTGTTTCACATGTGAGAAGAAATACTAGCCTCTGGGATTGACACCTTTATTTTTTGCTACACATACCTGGTTTCCTTTTACATTTTTCTTTCTTAACAGACTACACACAAAGCCACAGAGAGGCGCACTTCTAAGAAGTTCAAGTATGATAAAGGTCATCTTGTGAAGTCAGAATTACAGAAACTAGTCCCTAAAAGTGATAGTGGTTCTTTGCCAAAAGTAACACCTGAGACCCCCTGTGAAAATAAATTTGCCGAAGATGATACATTGCTTCCAGACAGTGCAGCTAGTTCCTCTACACAACAGGAGACTGCAGGCCTTCCTCTCAGCCACTGCAGAGCTGTGAGTGACACGGGCTTAAAAAAGACTGAAGACAGCCCCTCTGTGCCGAAACACACCAGTTCAGGAGCAGAAGACTCTAACAGTAACTCCACCCAGTGGGACAAGTCAGCACTGGAAACAGAGGGAGTCCAGAGGTCATCACTCCAGCTGGACAGCACTGTCTTTCTAGATGAGGACAGCAACCAGCCAATGCCAGTGAGCCGATTCTTTGGAAACGTGGAGCTCATGCAGGTAGGACCAGAGCCTTCTTCCTAAAAGGGGCCTGAGTCTGCAGGCCACACACACATATTGTGTACGTTGAATTTAATCCATGTAAACAATGCCTCAACACCAAATCAACTATAAATTCATAATTTAACCCCAAAAAAGGAAATAAAATGTCTGCTAATTAGTGGCACTCTATCCCATAAGCTGAGAATCATTGCCATCGTGGGAGCGGTCTTATCCCACAGCCTGCAGGTGTGTTTTTATTTCTCACACTGCAGGTTTATGAGATCAAAATTGTGGTTTGTGTGACCATCCACCCCATGTTTGCTGTTGCTTTATTTTATGCTGAGCCCAGTATTTCCTTTTTATTTGTTCAACCCAACAGGAAAGAAGCTCTTATCAAGAGACAAGTGTTAGGACTCGGTCGTTGTCATGGGCATAAAAGTGGGGACTGCTCTGCAAAACCCAGAGCTGATCAGTGGTGAATTATAAATGCAGATGCTGACTAGTGACATTCGTAACTAAAGTCCATGTTTTCTTCCCTTCTAAGGACCTGCCACCAGCATCTTCATCTTGTCCTTCAATGAGCAGACGAGAATTCCGAAAAATGCACTTCAGAGCCAAAGATGATGATGAGGAGGAGGATGATGCAGAAATGTAGAAAAAACACAAAATTTTTTTTTTTACTTATTTAGTACAGTTAGCAATTTAATAATTTAGCACATTACAAGATTGGTATAAAATGTATCTCTGAGAGAATATATTCTTATCAAACTTCAAAACTGACTCATTAAGTCAGTAGTGCAAAACACCAACTACCTGTGGAAGGTTGACTAGTGTGAACTAAAACAGTCTGAGACTGTGAGGCTGCTGCTTCCATGTTAATGTCTTTTCTTTTTTTAGAGGGAGATTTGCTATAGGGCACGTACACTCACCAGAGAGACAGAGATGGAAAGTGAGAAATCACCTGCCAGGAGGGATGGCCACACCGCAGTCCTTTCTCCTCCATTCTCCTCTTGAGATTTTGGGCACACATGTACATGTGCCCAGCATGAGTTTTAAGCCACTGGGTCTGGGACTTGAACCGTGGTCAATTAAATGGGAGTCCAGTGATGTGACCATTACACTATCTGCTGGTCCCCGCTTTTTCTTATATGTATATATATGATGATGGTTTGAGTCAGCTGTAGGGGCTTGGGTTTAAATGAGAGCATTGCAAAGAAAGCACTCCACTTGAGCTCAATAGTTTTGATAATATGCAATTTTATTTTCCATTATAAAAATGTGATCTATCCAATGACAGTTCTTAAAGAACTCTCCTTTATTTCTGTATATAAAGCTAATGTTTATCTTGGAAATTTCGCAAAATACATATAAAAAATAAAATATATTTTGAAAATATTTTTAAAGAGGTCTTATGTCCCTAAAATTATATTCCTTCCTAAAATGTCTGAGAGCTAAGTGGAAGAAATGAGTCCTGCCCTTAATTTTATATTCATAAGCCTGGGCCTGCTTTTTAGACCCATTTACCAGTGGGAGGAGTGAGACCATTGGAGACAGGGCTCTGAACAGAAAGTGAAGTGGCCTCTTCCCTTCTTGTACTTTTTCCACTCTCACTCATCTTTGATATACAAGTGTTGAGCACATTCCTTATTCTGTTCATGATGGAGAAGTCAACCTAGTCTAGTGAAAGTTGTGTCTTCCTCCAGGCTGTAGAGGTGTTCGTGAGCACAGCTGCCCCACCAGGGACTACACTCACAGCTTCCCTTGCATCATTGAATGCCTCACGATGGGTTCTCACCAATGGGCAATGGAGAGAAGCTATTTAGGGATGCTTGCTCCACTGTCTCTTCTTGCAACCAGCTACATGAAGAGACCAAGCCTAGATCCCAGTGACTGTGTGGAGGAGGAGCTGCCCCAAATGTGGGAAGATGTGTAGGGTTTTCCACAAGTGAGTACATCTTACTGCCTTTAGTTTAGTTAGAACAGCAGTTAGAGTTAGCCCTGTTAAAATGTCCTGTCAAGCACAGGAAGTGTTATTACCTAACAGATTAACTGGGAGCAGAATGCAGTTGAAGTACTCTGTGAGAAGTTTTTCAGTTCTTTTAGTGTTCAAAAACTGTCCTACCTGAAAGTAATTTTCCCCAAGTCATTCTCTACTTCCAATGTAATAATTTCCCTGTTAGCCGTGACCTTGACCTACTCTGAATAATTTTGTGATTTACTGGTCAGTGAACTACATTTTCAAGTTACCAATGGTAACTTCAAGTGGTAGCTTGAAAATGTTGCTTGCAAAGTCATTTTATGATAGCCAGGGAAAATAATTCACAACTTTAAATTGCTGCACCGAGTAACTTCTAATAGCAATTCTATCTAAGCTGCATCAGATTGGAGAATTATGTCATTCCTATAAGTAGGTTTCAGCAAGCAGCATTGTCCTGAATTACAATACACCTGCAGAAGTGATGTGTTGTTACATTCCCAGCAAAATGGAAAACATGCACATTCCTGGGGCCACCCCAGTCACTTACAGTTTTTAACATTCACTGAGCATTCTTAGGTGGAAACCTTCCTTTTCTGCCTGGACTTTTAAAAATTGGTCCTTTGAAGTTCTCATTCTTTCATTTTTCCCTTGTATTTATTTTCTCTTTTGTTTGTTTATTGATGGCAGAGAACACACAGGTGTGCACACAGAGAGGGAGATAGAGAAACACCCTCTTCAAGGTCTGGCCACACTTCCCCCAGCCTTCTTGCTCCTTAGGATCTTGGAGACAATGAACATATACCTAGCATATTTCGGGCCAAGCTCTAGCCAAGGATCTGAACCTGCCACTGGCCATGGAGCTTCCAGCACCGTAGTTCAGTATGCTACTCACTACACCACCAGGTTGAGTTCTTTTCCCTTTCAAACTGGCATTGCAACTTAAACTGAGGCAGGGCTCTTTTTTTCCTTCAGTGTCAGCTGGCTCCAAGCTGAATATGTATCATTTTGTATGGCAGTTTGAAGTTTTGTTTTTTTTTTAAAGAATTATTTTATGTAACTTTATTTATTTATAATTTAACCACAGAGGCACAGACCAAGAGCAAGAGAAAGAAAGTGAGAAACCAAGCTGCCAGGTCCTGGACTCAAACTGCAGTCGGCCATGTGGGAGTCCAGCACCCTTAACCACCATGCCACTTGCCGGCCCCACTTTGAAGTTTTTGAAGTATAAAAAACCATGCAGAATCTCCTAAGTGTTGAGAATGTGGCAGAGAGTACAGATCTGAATCCCTGAAGGTCACTGTCAAATAAGAATGAAGTGTCATTATAAGAAAACACAAATGTCCTGTGTCAAGATATGGCACAGACAAAGGCAGCATTTCAGGAGGCTTGTGGAATGTCTGAGGCCAGGGTAGTGAAGGAGCAAAGGGGCCTAGAGCAGAGAACCACATGCATGCTCACAGATGCAAACTGCACAACAGAAAGCCTCACAGTGAGGCCAGCTCAGGGAAGCTTTGAGGCTAGCAATAAAATGCAAATGCAGAGTAAGCCCTAGGGACAAGATAAAATCTCAAAGGGGAAGTAAAATCACTTTGATTATGAGCATACCACTGACAGGCTCTGCCTAAACTGTTAACCATTTGAAATGAGTGTCTCACCCCATATATGTAGGAAGCCAGGCTGTGTTACAAACATAAATTCTTCATTCTTTTTTATTTTTCTTAGTTTTCGTTTGTTAGTTTGGTTTGGTTTGTTTTTACTATAAGGCATGTACGCTTGCCAGAGAGAGACAAAGAGGGACAATAAGAAATCACCCCTAAGGGCAGATGGCCACACCATAGCCCCATCTCCACTCTCCCAGGATTCTGGACACATATGCACATGCACCCGGTGTGATTCTCAAGCCACTAGGTCCAAGATTTGAACTGCACAACCAGCTATCTGGAATCCAGCACCTTAACCATACTACCTGCTGGACCCCAAACTTAAATTCTTTAAAAGCAGTTTCTAATGTCTCTTTGTAAAATTACACACAAGTGCTTGAGCAGTATAAAAGAATATTAGTTGATCCATCTTATAAGTAGTCCTTGCTTCATGAGACATATTCTTGCAAAACTGACATCAAAAATAAATTGTATTTTCCTACTCTCTTTTGTTTGCTGAGTCTGAAAGGTTTCCAGGTGGCAGTAATACACTGTATTAGGACCCGAAGACCAGCTTCAGACTCAACAGTTCACTAGAAGAAATCTCAAGACTCAGAAAATGGTTAATTAAAGCAAAAGGGGGACCAGCAGTTAGCGTAATGGCTATGTCGCTGGACTCCCACGTAGTCAACCACGGTTCAAGTCCTGGACCCAGTGGCTTAAACTCACGCCGGGCGCGTGTGCGTGCATGCCCAAGATCCCAAGAGGAGAATGGATTGCGGCGTGGTCATCCCCCCTGGGGGTTGATTTCTCGCTTTCTGTCTCTCTGGCAAGTGCAGGCGCCCTATACCAAAAACCTCTCCCCCTCAAAAAAAAGGAAAACAATAGAAATTGAAATCAGCAGTGGGAAAGAAGCACACGAGGCAGAGTCCAGGAGAGATCAGACACAAGCTTCCAGATGTTGCCTCCCAGTGGAGTCATGTGAAAACTGGCTTAATTCTCTGAGCTGTTGAGGAGCCAACCAGGGAAGCTCTGCTGAGCCCTGTGCTCTGGGCACTACCAGGGCCAGTCATATAGGCATGGAGTACCCTTGTGAGGAGGCCTGCGGCCTCAGCAGACAAAACACTCAACAGGTAGAATATTCCAAGGCTCCAAGGTTCCCTCAAAAAATGTCATCCTGAAGACTGCCCTTTCTCTGGGCTGGGCAGGGTATAAACAGTGAGTCAGGGCCCTCCCTAGTTCCCTTCAGTGGCTCCCCTTGCCTTTGGAATTAAAACCTACTTCTTACCCTAGCCTTAGTTCACAGCATGGTCTGGCTTCTTGACTCTTTGCTCACTACCCTTTAGCCAAGATCCTAACATGCCTCATCTGGACCCCCAATGCTCTAAATGACTGGAATGAGTGTCAGCTCCTCAAAGAGGCCCCTCCTCAGACCTCTGCCACTCCCTCTTCATCTTGGCATCCCACTGACTGGTTCACAGTTCTTATCACAGCTAACTGAATGCTCTCTCTATTGATGGCATGCTTTTTCCTGAGCTGTGAAAGGCCCAGCCCTCAAAGTCACGTTCCCTGCAATCTGGCTATCTGTGTGGATCCTGACAAGGGCAAGGTGTGGCCCACTGTAGACGCATCCACTAGGCTCTTCCCTTTGCTACACATCACTGACACCAAGACCCTCCAGCAGCAGGTGACCCTCCTGGCCATAGATCATGTGACTCGCTCTCACCTCCCAGAAATTCTTCCCTCCTAAGTGGGACTGGACAAACCATAACCCCATACTTTGCAGAGTGCAGCTACCTATACTCACCTGGGAGCCTGAAAGTTTGGGTGACTCCTGACTGGTGGCACCTCTCATCTGTAACAACTATGCAGTACCTCATCAGGCTGAGGTCTAAGAAACAAGTAAAAGTCAATGACCAGGGTCAATCAGTGGTCACTGAAGAAGCTGGATCCCACATGGCCAATTAAGCATTTTCATTCTCAGGTCCAGCAACTTGAAAAGCATACCAGATGCATATATATACCCAAAATCCCAAGAGGAGAATGGAGGAGAGG